TCTGGGATGTGCGGATGAGAGGTGGGCGTCAGAGGTTGCCATCAGACAGTCTTCCTTGGTGAGCTCGTTGGTCGGTGGGTAGCGCAATCCATAAGCACGCCCATCCACTCGCACTGTGAACAGCTGATCCCTGAGCTTCCTCGAGAATGGCAGCGACCACGTCCCGCATCTCAGTGGCTGCTCGAAGTCGATCTCTGCACCTTGATATAGGGCTTGGTGGGCTGGTAGAACACAGGCTTGTGTTACTTTGTCGTTATTCCGCCTCTTGGCCTCCAGACGTAGTCGCTGTTATGGCGCGTTCTGGTAGGCGTTCTGGATGATTGATCTGGCTGTGCGCGGCGGTGAGAAGACCACGCGGCGTGGCGGCGCTTCCCCGAGCGTCCCCGAAGCCCTGCTGTAGCCCGCGTTGGTCGTCAAGTCGCACTCGTTGTGTTCGCCCAGCCCCATGACTTTGCCGTCTCGCTTCTCCACCTCTGCTCCCAACTTGGAGTCGGGAGGTGCACGCACCTCCATCAGATCCAGCCGTCCTTCTCGAAGTAGATCTTGAGCTTCCCTAGCTGCCGTCTCCTCGTGCTTCAGGATACCTGCCCTGAGCGCATAGATCTGGCGATCGCTGGTGCACTTCATGTCGCCCTGGTCAGTCGCATCGCCGCCCGCAGCGTCCGCTTCTGCAAACTCCCAGTCCGCTGCGTCTAGCTTCAACATGAGCAACATCTTCCAGTTGTCCAGGCTGTACATCTCTTCCAGCATGTTCCAGGAGTCCTCTTCCGAAAACTTCACATCCTTGATATCCTGCTTCATCCTCTCCATGTCCTCACAGGGGCTCTCCTTCGCTGGGTCCCAGTTCTGGATGTTGTCCTTCATGGCGGTCTCCAGGTCGATCTCCTCCGCGATGACCCCTGGCTCGGCTTCTGTCTTCGCGGGTCTCGGAGGTGCTGTCTTCGGGGTCGGTGGCTGGTAGGTGGTCCTCGGTCGCGAAGGCGAGCTCGAACTGATCACTGTCCTTCTATGCGCTTGCAGCCTCGGGCTCGTTATCGGTGGCTCCATCTTGGGATATCCCGTAGACTGCTGCCCAGAATTCTGCATCACCTCGCATGTCTGTAGGCGCCGGTGACTCCTGCCGCCGACACAACTGCAGCCCGCTCTGCGCCTCCCTGGCGCTCCGCAACACTCGCACTTGATGTTGAGCTGCTGCTTCGCGATATTCGGATCCTTGAAGCCTCGGTCGAACTCCTCCTTCTTGGCAGTCAACTTAGCATTCAACTTGACCGGCAGTGGCTGCCCGGACGGCAACCTGCCTTGGCACGCGTGACTCCTGCCTCCCGCGCAGCTGCATCCCGCCGGAACCGTTCCTGGAACTCCGCAGCAGCCGCGCCTCGCACTTGCCAACCTCCTCGGCGACTCGAAGACTCCGGACTGCTGAGACCAACCAGACGAGTTTGGCCCAGAGCATGATGCACGCATCCGATATGGAACAGCTGCGGGCGAGAGAACTCGAGGAAACCTCGCCGTCTTGAGCCCAAGTGTTGGCTAAGGCAGACGCTGTGAAAGATCCGTGAGTCACAACCTTTTGCCACTCGGCATCTGGTCCAAAATCTATGAGGAGATGACCGCAACGGGAACGCGAGGATCAATCTCATCGCTGACCGTCTTGAAACTGATTGCCCCCTTCTCGAAATCAGCTGCAACTCCAAAATACGTCATGAAATCCATACCGATCAGAAGCGGCACCTCCACATCCACAACAGAAACGGGGAAATCACACTCTTGGGAATCGACATATCCAGGTAGGGAGGCGCGACCCAGGGATTGAGTTTTCCGGTTATTCCCGAACGTAACTCGATCAGTGGCCCTGCAGAACTATCGAATCTGCGATGGTGTGATGGTGCCGGTCGTATATGTGACGATGTCGGTCGCATCCGTGATGGTGTCGGTCCCAACGTTGATGATGTCGGTCGCAACTTTGATGATGCCAATGCAACTTGATGACGAGTGACGATGGATGCTTGTGCTTGCGCCCGCTCCGCAGCTTGGCGGGAGCCTTGCAATCCTTGGCGACGTGGCCCTTGCCACCGCGCCTCAGGCACACCGCGTTCGGATCCGCTCCCCAGTCCTTGTTGTTCGAGCTCTGGCTCGGCGAGCCACGTGACATTGGAGGCGAGCGCCCGGCGCCCTTGCACTTCGGCGAAGGCGACCCCTTGGCACTCGACCCAAAGAACCTCCGCCCCGTCTTCTTCTGACGCAGTAGCTCGCGTGCCTGTTTGAAGGAGTGCTGCCCGTGTTGGACAGCAGCCAGCGCAGCACCCTCGAGAAGCTCTTCTCTGAGATCGTTGTCATCTCCGGCCTGGTCGTAGACGTCCTGCAGCTGGAAGGTCACGTCCTCGTCCTCGGCCAGCGCAAACGCGGTGGCGTCATTACTCTGTAGGGCCAGCTGTCCAGGCTCTTCTTCATCACCGTCATCCTCTTCAACGTAGTACTCGTCTTCGCCCTCGGCAGCGTAGTTCTTCCGGCTCTGCCACTGTGGCCTCTGGCCCTTGTGGTGATGCCCTTCTCCGTCGTGTTTCTCGTCGAACTGCATGCCCAGAGCCTGCTGGATCTTCTGATGTCCATGCTTGTTCTGCACGGATGCCAGAACCTGGGACCGCTCGTGGTCGTCGAGACCCGCATTCTCCAGCAGAAACCACGCTCGCAGGGACTCTGGGAAGATCGGCTTTGTCTCGTCGAAGCTCTTGTCGATGGCCTCGTTCGCTTTCTGCATCGGATCCCCCTCGACCTCGAACTGCGCTAAATCGTCCCGCGTAGTCGCCCTGCTCTTGCGGAACGTCTCCTTCATGAACGCGCGCATACATGTTCCAGCGCCCTCGACCTCCAGGATGCCACTCTTCTCCTTGAGACACTGCAGCAGCTGGCTGACACCCTTCGGCAGCTTCCTCACAGGATTCTCCTCGACGTCGTCGAGGCTCTCCAGCTTGTCATACTTCAGGACTCCCTGCCAGGCGCGGCCGTGCAGCCTCGCCATCAATCTGGGCCCGCAGAAGCCCTTCTCGTCCTTCTTGGCCCCGCGCACCCAGAGTTTGACCCTCATCGCATGGGAGTCGAAGCCCGCAACATGTCCGTCCAAAATGGCACCGTCTCATGTTTCTGTTCATCTGTCGTCATGCCCGTGGAGCCAAGCCGGCTCCGCTACAAACTAAATCATCGGCGCTGGCGGAAGCCTCGCTGAAATCCTCGTGAGAGCCGTAGGCGCACGCAACAATGATGTCGTGATACTCTCGTTTCTCTCCTGACCAGCACCGACAGTCTCGATGTTCCCCCTCAGGATGATGAGCCCCTGGTGGGCTCCAGCACTGGTGCTTTGAGCACCGTTCACTATACAGTGTGTCTGGTAGTTTGCGACCGGCGCAAGGGCGCCCTGGACCGAAATGGCCGCGGTCATATCCCGCTGTGTCGGTCGCTGGGCACTCGTATCGGTCGGCCAACATGCGTAAACATTTACAGGAGGGAGGGAAGGAGGAGATGAGGGGGGCCTCCCCTCCCCTGACTCCTCCTTCCTCCCCCCGCCCTCCTCCTCCTCCCTCCTCTCCCTGCCTCCTCCCTCCCTCCTCCCTCCCGGAAAAGGGGACGGATGGGCAGAACGAACTTCACAAGGCCGGTGATCCGGTGATCCGGTGATCCGGTGATCCGGTGATCCGGTGATCCGGTGATCCGGTGATCCGGTGATCCGGTGATCCGGTGATCCGGTGATCCGGTGATCCGGTGATCCGGTGATCCGGTGATCCGGTGATCCGGTGATCCGGTGATCCGGTGATCCGGTGATCCGGTGATCCGGTGATCCGGTGATCCGGTGATCCGGTGATCCGGTGATCCGGTGATCCGGTGATCCGGTGATCCGGTGATCCGTGATCCGATCCGGCGATCCGGTGATCTGGTGATCCGGTGATCCGGTGATCCGGTGATCCGGTGATCCGGTGATCCGGCGATCCGGCGATCGGTGATCATCGGTGATCCGGTGATCCGGTGATCCGGTGATCCGGTGATCCGGTGACCGGTGATCCGGCGATCCGGTGATCCGGTGATCCGGTGATCCGGTGATCCCGTGATCCCGTGATCCGGTGATCCGGTGATCCGGTGATCCGGTGATCCGGTGATCCGGTGATCCGGTGATCCCGTGATCCCGTGATCCGGTGATCCGGTGATCCGGTGATCCGGTGATGCGGTGATCCGGTGATCCGGTGATCCGGTGATCCGGCGATCCGGCGATCCGGTGAGCCGGCGATCTCGCGATCCGACGCTCGGCGATCTGGCGATCCAGCGCCCTGGCGAGCCGGTGATCCGCATGATTTTCACCACGTAGATTCTATTACATGGATGGCACAGTACATCTTACACCACCCGGCTTGCGCCGATAGCTTGCACCACGTCGAGTGGACCGCATAGATAATCCACATAGCTCGCAGCACATAGCACATAGCGCACACCGCATACCTTGCACCACACACCTTGCGCCACATAGGTTAGAGCTCATAGACCACCGCTGAGTGTGCACCTCACACACTGTGCCGCAGAGCTTATGCACCTCATACCTTACGTCGCATAGTGCGCACCATATAGATCGCACCGCATAGTTCAGACCACGTAGATTGTACCACATCGCTGCCCCCGTACAGCTTACACCACACGGCTTGCACCGCATTGCTTGCACCTCATAGCTTACACCGCATGGGGTGCACTTCATCTTGTGGACCGCATAGCCCATCTACATAGACCGCAGCACATAGCACATATATTTCACCACACAGCTTGCACCGCGTAGACTGCACCTCATAGCTCACACCGCACAGCGTGCACCACACACATGGCACCGCGTAGCCAACCCACATACCTAACACCACTCAGCCTGCACCGCATGCATTTCACTAAGTCGCTGCGAGGGGCCCACGCTGGCTGGCATGTTTTGCTGGCAAGTACACAGCACCAGTACCGCGAGTACACAGAGCGCATTACCGGTCTCTCGGCTGGGCCGCCGGCCCGCCCGAGCGATCTAACGCCGTCGTGCCCTCTGTCGGTCGGCTTGGCCGAGAGACGTCCGGGTCGTGCTTCATGTTGCCGCAGGCGTACCTCCTGCGGTTGCACTCCGCCTGATGGACCAGCCACTCGTTGTGCTCCGTGAACAAAGCCCACCAGTGCACGCCGAAGTGGCCTGGAGTCATCTCCCGCCCAGGCGCAGTGCGCTCGTTGATCCAGGAATTCAATTGCTCGCAAGCCTGCGTGTTCTTGCCCGCCATGAGCACTGCATTATCCTCAGAGTCGGGATCCACCTCTGGTAGATTGCTCAGGCACCACGCATGGTTGCCCCTGTGGAAGCCGTCCAAGATCATCTTCACCTTATCCACGAACTCCTGGGACCACGGCTTCTGAAGCTCTCTCTTCGCCCTGGCGATAGCGAGCAACTGGCACGCGTTGTCGTATCCTATGACTTGGAGCGCCGCCTTCAGCTCTGAAAGATCCTTGAACAGCCGGAGGAAGAACAAGTACATCACCTCGATGCCTTCCCCTCGCCACAATTCCTGCCAGTCGGCCAGATAGCCGCACTGGAGAACGGCGGCCACGATACCGCCCGTGCAGCGCCTTCGCCGCGCCTCGGACGCGTTCTCTTTGCTGATGCCGCAGGACGTTTTCTCGACCGGCACCTCGCGGGCAGCGTAGAGCCAATTGGAGCCGACGGCGTCGCGGCGAGCGGCGGCCGCAGTGCTAGGCGTGCGCTTCGCCCGCCCAAGTGCCTGCGCGGGCGCCGCGGCGCTGCCCCGCCGCCGGCCGCGCGGCTTGGCTGCCCCCGCGGGGGCGGCCTTCGCCTTCGCCTGCCCTTGGCGCTTGCCGCGCGCCCCCGCGGCCCCCTGCGGCGCGCTCTTCCTGAGCCCAGTGGATGCCAGCTCGCGGGGGCCATCCGCCATCGCGCGCCTCTTGCGCGCGCCGCGCCCCGCGGCGACCCGCGGCGGCGCGCTCCTCTTGAGCCCGCCGCTGGCGTTGCTCCGCGGCGGCTGCGGGGCGCAGGAACCGCGGGCACCCTTATGCCAGAGCGTCTTCTGCAATTTGCTCTTCCACGTGGGCGGCTTCTGCAACTTCTGTCGCGGGTCGCTCCGAAGGGGGAGACTGCCGATCTCGAACTGCGCGAGGAGATCCTGCCGCACTTCGGAACGCGGGAGCGAGAATTCGAAGAGCTCCCCGTCGCTGGCGACGGTCTTGCATTCGACGACGCAGCGGGTCTCCAAGCCGAAACCGCCGTCCGGGGCCGGCGCCAGCTCGGCTCGTAGGACCCGGAGTTGGGGGACTAGGCCAGTCTGCTCTTTACCAGAAGGTCGACATGTCTGGCACAGGTGGCGCCTACCGCCGACGTGCGCCCGGCACCCCGTGTACAGCGTGGCGCCCACGTCTGGATAGGTGATGGACCCGTCAGTGCCGGCGCAGACGTGGCGGCAAGCCCCGCGCTTCCCGTCGCCGATGACCAGGAGCAAACGCTGGCACCGCGGGCACGACGCCACGTGAGAAGCTATTCTTCTCAAGTTGGCCATGCGGAATGCAGGCTGCAGCTGGACTAACGTCGCATCAAATTGCGACAGTTCGAAAGACCACGTCTGCTCCTTAGCTGCGTCGCCGGCCAAACGCGTGGCCTGCCACGTGACCCGCGCGAGTTCAAGGCAGTCGCGGGTGTGATGTACAAGGGTCAAATCATCTCCCACAGTCAACCGGGCCTGGATCGCGCTGCGGTTCTGCCGGGCCCACACGTGTACTATGGAAGTGAAGGTGGCCCCGCTGAACGCCAATTGGTCTGTGACTGTGCGCAGGAAATGAGTCTCCACCGCAAAATAACTCTGCTGCCGGGGGATGACCACGTACAGGTCGTCAACCGTACTGCCCACGAACATGACATCTGTGCAGCGACCGAACGTCGGCTGACCACGCTCGCCAACGTTCTTTCTGTAGGACCATCCCCCCAAGAAGAAACGCGAGCACTTCGGGCACCGGCTCTCTTCAAACACTGCGTACTGCACGCCAGCGGTCCACGAATATATTTTATACCGGACGGTAACATTGCTCTCTGGTGGCGTTCCCGCGCGGGCGGCTTCGGCTTTCAAAATTGGCAAATTTCGGCCGCGGGCGCATTTGTCGATGCCCGGGCACGGGCAGAGGGAGATCCCCTCGCAGCGCGGGCACGTGCCTTGGCGAGCAGGAATGCGAACAAGGGTAACATCTGGAGCCGCATCCTGCATTTCCTTCAAACGTGCTGCCAGTTTGCCTGGTTGGCAGCGGTTGGTCACCAAGCTCGGCAAGTATGTTTGCACCTTCCAAAGAACGTTTGCCAGCACAGTGTCGTCGACCTGTCCATAACCCTGCTCGGACAGGACGCATTTCAGGACAGGCAAGGCGAGGGCGGCATCGACGTGCGCCAACACGTCGCAGAAAGCCGTGGTGCACTGCACAGGCAAAGGCTCCAGAATCCGAGCAAGGGAGAAGTGCCCCCTGGATCGCCGGCCATGGCGAAGCCGACGCGGTCGGAATATGCGAACAATGTCCGAGGGCGAAGCTGAGAGGACGACCTCGCATGCTTGAGCCTAATTGGGCCAGGACGGGGATGGCAAAGACGATGAGAGCCACGATATTACAAATCAGAAGCTGATATTGCCACGACGTCCGGACCTTAGAAAAGAACGAGCGGGGTACGCAAGAAGACACAGACAATAAAAAACAATGCGCAGCATCATGTTGGTTGCCGTGTTGTCCGTTTGACGTTGTGCCGGGACCTTCCGAAGAGGTTCAAGAATGATGGGAAAAAGACGGAATCTGAGAACCCGGAGACGAAAGAATGGAAGGGGGGAGAGGCAGGAGTGAGGAGAAGTGGGCAGCAGGAGGGCGGGAGGCATTGCAGAGTGGAGCCTCGTAGCCCGTCTCGGGCGGCTCCTGGGAGTTTCTTGGGGCGGAGGTGGTTTTGGGCGCTTCGTCTTCCAACCTCCTTCTTGCCCCATCGGGGGCGCCCCCCCCCCCCCCGGGGTCTGGAGGGGGGCCGCGAGGCGTCAGAGGGTGGTTGTTGGCCCACGATGGCTCCCAGAGGGTCTCAAAGATGTCAAGATGGTCTCCAAGATGGCTCCATATTGTGCATGGTGGCTCAAGTTGGCTCCAAACATGCTCCGAGAGGCTCCTGGACCGCTCCGCGACGAGCCAAAGTGAATTGGGGCCTCCCTAGGACGCGAGGAGCCCAAATCATGTAAACAACAAAAGAAATCACATGAGTTTAGCCTTCTCGCGTTTTCGCTTCCGATGGCCTTCTGAGGCTTCATGATGGCCCCAAGAGGACCCAACAGCCCCACGAGGGCCCAAGACGGCTCCAAGATGACCCCAAGGGCCCCAGAGCGCCCAAGAGCGCTCCAAGAGAGCTCAAAGCGGCGACCTTGGGGGCTTAAGAGGGGCAGCGGTGAGGAGAGTTCTGGCCCAAGAGGGTTCCAAGATGGCTCCAGATGTTTTACGATGGCCTCCGACATGGCCATCGTGAAGCACCCACCCCAGGGAGGAGGAAAATGTACAATTGGAGAAACAGATAACGTTTTCCCAACGTGCTCAAACGAATGCTGGAAATTGCCAATGGCCAAGCGCACGGTAGAAGTATACGGCCGATCAAAAGAGCGACCTGCCAGGGAAGGGCGGCATATGAGCCAGCCGAGAAAGGATTTAGTTGGAGAGCCAAAATTGCTGGCCGCCGGGCGGCCTGGCGCCGCTGCTATGCGGGCGAGAACGCCTGCAGCAGCACGGGCGAATTGTGCGACAGCTCTTGGCCGCCTGGTGGGGCCCCCACCCCGCGGGATACGCGGCCCCTGCTCGTGGGGAGCAGCTGTGGACCTGGACTGTACAGCCTGGCAGGCTAAGGAGCAACTATCTAGGGCCTCACCATAAGAGGTTTAGCGACTGGTGCCCTAGCTGCGGCTGCGGCATTCTCGGAGGCTGGGTCCTAACGCCTGGAGCGGCGTGGCTAGGCACAGGCAGATGCCGCGCCGCCTTATGATGAAGGCGCGGGGCCAAGGCTTAACATTGATGTGATGGCTGCGTATCTGGCTAACAGCGCTGCCACCTGATGCCCGGGGGGCATATTCTGGGGAGGCGGGAGAATCGAGGTTGCAGGGGGGGCCGCGCGTGCATCCCCGAACGGCTCCAACAACCAAATCTTCAAAATCGCAAACATCGGCAGCAAGGGAGGGAAGAAGACGGAGAGGGAAGGAAATGTAGGGAGGTGAAGGGGAGAGAGAGAGAGAGAGAGAGAGACAGAGACAGAGACAGAGACAGAGAGACAGAGATAGGCATGCACCTAAAAGAGAAGCCGCCACCGAGACAAAGCTCCCGGAGGCTGGGCGCTGGGCGCACGCGGCGATTGAAACGTCCACCTGCCGATCTCCCATGGCGCCTTTACATTTAGCGCGGCTTCGGGGCCCACTCAGGAATGCCCTCCTCGACCTTGCGGGCAAGAGCGTCGAAAGCCTCCAAGTTGAAGCGAAGGCAGACAGGGCGCCTCGACATAGCTTCGACCATCCGCGCTTCTTTCGTCTCGTTCAGCTTGAACATCGACGCAATGCGCTTCACCACCGTCTCGATGCGCGGTTCTGGCGGGGCCAGCACAACGATTGATTTCCCCATTTTGCCGCGCGTCCCCAGCCCCAGCTCGTGGAAGAACTGGAGCAGCAGAGTTGCGGTCATGTCGATGGCGGGCGCTGTGCCGTCGCTCTTGAACATGTCCTTGAGCTTGTTGACGGCGATGTCGGTGGACTGCGCGGCGCACGCAGCCGCGCCAATCTTCCCAGCCAGCAAGACGTCGCCACGCAGCCCCTGGTAGTCAAAGGGCGCTTCCTCCCGCATCCGAAGACGCTTCGCAGCCCGTTCGCGGTCGGGCCCGCCCTCGGGCGGCTCCCCCGCCGGCCCTGCCTGCGTGAGTCCGCGTGGGTGAGCGGCCGCCGCGGCATCGCCCTGAAGGATGCGCTGAATCTGGCTGCGCCTGTCTGCCTGGGTCGCAGGCGGCCCTGGCTCCGGCAGGACGACCTCGGCGGCGGAAGTGCTGAAGATGTCGGCGTGCACCGACACGTCCACCGCAGTGCCCTCGACCAAATTCTTCATCGCCGCCACTGCGGCAGACGCTGCGTCGGCGTTCACGACGACCGGGCCAAGCCCCTCTCCCGGGCACAATGCTCTTACATGAGGGAAGGAGGCATCCGGGCACCAGGTCTGGAGTCGGTTCGCTGCGCGCAGGAAACTCTCGTCGTTCATAGCGAAAGATGCCACCGCGCAGCGACCGTCCTTCACGTGGACGAACCCCATGAAAGCGAGCAAGAGGATGTCCACGATCTTCGCGCGGACGTCGTCGGCAGACACAGCAGGGTGTTGTGCGAATGCGACAATGTTTAGGCGATTCTCCGCGATCTCCGCCAACGCGCTGGCTGGGTCGAGGCGCGGCGCGACGATTGCGCTCAGCATCTGCGCAGCCGTCTCGAAGGTAGGCGCTGGCGCGGCCGCGAGTCGCGCGCGGTCGGCGAGAAATGCCTTGACCATCTGGGAAGCGCCCACGGTCATGCTGAAGCTCCGGGCGAACCGAGCCGCCAAGGCAACGGAGGTGTCCACGGCAGCTTTCGCGGCGCCCCGTGGGATGGCATCCCTCGTGGGCACGGTCTTGCAGAGGGACTCCGAGTCCACGGACGCGAGGGCTACCAGAATGGCTTGTCCGTCCATGTCTTTCTTTTCCTCCGCCGACTTGCCTGCCTTCGAGAGCAAGAAGTTGATGGTCTTCTCCAGGAGATGCACGGGCGCGATGAATTGGAGCGGCCTGGTCTTGTCCTTGCTCAGCTGGGAAGCCCGGCCACCGAGGTTGGCGAGGTCGTCCCGGATCGCGTCGGCAGAATCGTTGTACGACTTGCGGAAGTGTTCCTGGACCTCGGAGCTCATTGGCAGAGTGTGGAGACCAGTGATCTTCGAATAAACTTTCTTCACGTCCGTGGCCGGCACCGACGGGGGGGCGTCTTTCTGGAACAGCTGGCGCCCCGCGAACAAAATATTAGCGAGGCCGCCGACGACGTCGTCGTAGTTCATGCTGTTGAAGTAATCCGGGTCGTCCTGGAGCAGCTGCTCGACCTCCGCGGGGTTGAGGTCCGGCATGATTTTGTGGACCACCGCGGGGAATTTCCCGATCAAGAACCGCGAAAGGCCTGCCACCGAGTCCGACTGGCGGGCCTGGCGTTCCACCTCCTCCAGGTGCATGAGGACGGAGCCGACCACGTGCGCGTTGCGCACGTTGAACTTGGACTGGTTGTTCGCTGGGTGATTCTTGTACAAGTCGTGGTCCATGATCTGGCTCAAGTCCTCCACGCCGCCGCCGGGGCCGCTCGCGAAGAGATCCGCCATGAACGTCTTGCCCTCGTGAAGCCCGAAGTAAGCTACTCCGCCCTGCCCCTTCAGGAACTGCCCTAAACCGATGAACGTGCCGTTGTTGAAAATCGAATCCACGTCGGCGGGCGGCGTCAGCTTCTGATCTTCATCTGCGGAGTCCTCCTCCTCGGCAGCCTGACCCTGGCCTTGCCTCCTCTTGTCTTTCTTGTCTCTCACTTTTTGATCGTAGGCTGCCTTGGCGACTTTGTTGCGGATCTTGTCGAAGTACGCGAGGACTTGGAAAACGAGCCACAACGCGATCGACTTCCCGTCCCCTGGCGCGCCGTGCTGAATCATCAGAGGGTTTGAAAACTTGCCCAAGATCCCCCCGTACTTGACCTGCACCGCGTCCAAGACGAGGGACATGAGGATTACCAAGTGAACGTACACGCAAGATGGGTGCAGCGAAGTGGCTCTGCCAACCGCGCCAGCCACGCTCCACGCAAGTGGAGATGAAGCGTGAACGACATCAACAGGGAACGGGTTCAGGCTGTCCATGAGCTGGTAGGCCAAGCGCACGGCCCCGGTCTCCATGAAGGGCAGCTCGTCTGGGCGCTGGGCCCGTGCACCAGCCCTGCCGTTGAACTTGCCAGAGTGTTGGCCAGGGGCAGCAGTAGCTCCAAGCGCGCTTCCGAGCACGACAAGCACCGCCGAGAACAGGGTGGCCATGGCGTCGACCACGACGCAGCTACTACTGGCGCGCTGCGCGACGCAAGGTCTGTTCTTACTCGCGCTGGGCAAAAGAAGCTGTAGAGCCGATAGTCACACTAGGTGGTTTGGGGAATGAGATCTTCCCCTGGATTTGGGCGGAGCGGGGCAGCGCCGCGCGTTAGAGCGTCGAAAATGGCCCGAAATGAGTCTGAGATAACGCCGTATGGTCCCAGATGGCTACCAATATGGCGCAGCGTAGCCCGGGTTCGATCAGTCTGACGCCGACCATTCTTGGAGCATCCCAAGGATGCCTTCCAACAACATCCACCCGCGCTCGAGGCGCAGGTGGTCTAGCGCGTTTCCTCTTGCAACCTCCCTTTCTCCCTTCGGGGGGGGGGGGCGGTTACCCCTCGCCCTACCCCCCTGGGTCTGGACATGAGGGGCCGCGCTCCGTTGAAGCGTCCAGAATGGCCGAAGGTGGCGCCAACAGGGCTTCAGAGAGCCGAAGATGACCTTCAAGGTGGTCTACATTGCCTCAAGACGCTTTTCAAGACATTCGAAGAGGTTCCGAGAACGCCCCAAGACGGGCCCAAGGGGTCTTCGAGCTCTCCCCAAAGAACAGCCTCGAGAGCCCGAGAGTCCAAAAGCCTTCACTAAGTGAATACAATCAACGTTTGTGTGCTTTTCAGTTTTTCGCTTCGGATGGCCCTCCCAAGCCTCAAGATGGCTCCCAGAGGGCCCGAGGGAGACCCAACAGAGGCCCAAATGGGCTAGAAGACGGATCCAAGAGCGCCCGCGAGAGCCCAAAGAGCGCCCCAAGGCCCCAAGAGGCGGCTTGTGTGCGGCTCAAGCGGCCGACGTACTTAGAAGGCCGGAGGACCCCCTCTTCTTTGATTGATGGCCTCCAAGGGGGCTCCACGGAAGACCCCAAAGCTTCCAAGAGAGCCCAAAGAGAGCCCCCTAAATGGCTCCAATACAACCCCAAGAGCACCCAATTAGCGCTCAAGAAAGCTTCAGGAGTGGATTTGCTTTACCCCAAGGGGGGGGCAACGCTAATCCGCGTCGACCCCGTGTTTGAAGGATGTCATCCAAGATGGCGCCAGAATTTCATCAAGGCCACCAAGAGAGTCCCAGAGCAAAAGATCCGCAGTAGTCTGTCTGGTCCAATTGTCGCCTTCTCTTGCATCCTCCTCTGACTCCTCCTCCTCCTCCTCCTCCTCCTCGGCCTCCTCCTCCCCCCCCCCCTCGTCCTCCACAGCACCAGCACCAGCTAAACAGCGATGTGGTACAATCTACAGCACCATCATCAGCAGCACCACCAACAGCACCACCATCAGCAATAACACCAGCAGCAGCACCAGCAGCACCAGCCCAGCAGCAGCACCACCGCCACCAGCAGCAGCACCAGCAGCAGCACCAGCAGCACCAGCAGCACGATAACCAGGAACACCAGCAGCAGCACCAGCAACAGGAGTACCAGCAGCAGCAACATCACCAGCAGCAGCAACCGCACCCTTCGCTACCATAGATCTCCCAATTCACCTCTGTTGCCTGCGCTGTTTCACTATGTGCGTCTCTTCCTCCCTTCTCCCGTCAGCTCTCCTGGGCATCGTTCCTGGATGGGCTGGTGGGGATAAGTGCAGCGTAAAGAATTGCTCTAATCCCACCAGCCCTCTGGGCGACAGGTGGTCTAACGATGTCTCTCTTCCCTCTTCCACAACCCCTTCTTCCCCTTCGGGGAGGGGTTTACCCCTCCCCCTACCCCCTCCCCTGGAACTGGACGGAGGGGGTCGCGAGGTGTCAGAGGGCGCCTTTTCGCTCATTGGGAGGGCTATTTTTTACACCCCTCACAGGGATCGTGGCCCCCGAGGGGGGGGCACCAATTTAGGTACCCCCCCTTCTTTGATCGATCTCCTCCAAGATGGCCCCAAGAGCGCCCCGAAGGCTCCCAAGAGCGCCCCAAGAGCGCCCCAAGAGGGCCCCAAGAGACCCCAAGAGGCCCCCAAGGAGCCTCCAAGAGGCTGCCACGAGACCCCCAAGAGGCCCAAGAGGCTCCCAAGACGGCCCAAGACGGCTCCAAGAGCGAAAAGGCGAGAAAGCACAAAACATTGATGTTACCTAGATTTTCGAAGGATTTTGGCCTCTTGGGGGGCCCAAGAGGCGACTCGAGGCACTCTAGAGGGGCAACGCTAATTGGGGACGCCCTCTTCTTTGATCGATCTCCTCCAAGATGGCCCCAAGAGCGCCCCGAAGGCTCCCAAGAGCGCCAAAGAGCGCCCCAAGAGCGCCCCAAGAGGCCCCAAGAGGCGCCCAAGAGGCCTCCAAAAGGCTCCCAAGAGACCCCCAAGAGGCCCAAGAGGCCCCCAAGACGGCCCAAGACGGTTCCAAGAGCGAAAAGGCGAGAAAACACAAAACATTGATTTTACCTAGGTTTTGGAAGGATTTTGGCCTCAAGAAGGGCCCAAGAAGCGATTCGAGGCACTCTAGAGGGGCAGCGCTAATTGGGGACCCCCCCTTCTTTGATAGATCTCCTCCAAGATGGCCCCAAGAGCGCCTCGAAGGCTCCCAAGAGCGCCCCAAGAGCGCCCCAAGAGGGCCCCAAGAGGCCCCAAGAGGCCCCCAAGAGGCCTGCAAGAGGCCCCCAAGAGACCCCCAAGAGGCCACAAGAGGCTCCCCGAGATACGCAAGAGGCCCCCGGGACCGCCAAGAGGACCCAAAGACGGCCCAAGAGGCCTCAAGCTCGCCATTGTCCTTCTCCTCCTCCTCTTTTTCTTCCTCCTCCCTCCGCCCCCTCCCCCTCCTCCTCCTCGTCCTCCTCCTCCTTCTCCTTTTCCTCCTCCTCGAAGTCCTCCATCTCCTCCTCCTTATCTTCCTCCTCCTCCTCCTCCTGCTCCTCCTCCTGCTCCTCCTTTTACTCCTCCTACTCCGACGACGCTGGCTCCTCCTACATCCTCCCCTCGTTTGACCGACCGCCTCCAAGATGGCCCCAAGAGGCCCTCCAAGGCTCCCAAGAGGCCTCCAAGGTGGCCTCAAGAGCGCTCCAAGAGGCCCCAAAATGGCCCGAGGACGGCCCCAGAGGCCCCCAAGACGGCCCTAAGAGGGCCCAAAGACGGCTCAAGAGGCCTCCAAGATGTCCAAGATGGCCTCCAAGACGGCCAAGATGGTCCCAAGAGAGCCCAAGATGGCCCCAAGATGTCTCCAAGACGGGCCAAAATGCACCCAAGACGGCCCAAGATAGCCGAATGGGCCTCCAAGGCGGTTCAAAAGGCCTCCAAGAGGCACCAACTCGCCTGGCGACAACATCATCATCAAGCCAACTCGCCTGGCGACTAATTTGCGGCCAGGTGGTCTAAACGAGATTCCTCGCTCCTCTTCCACAACCCCTTCTTCCCCTGAGGGGACGCCCTCCCCTGGACCTGGACGGGGCGTTCCGCGAGGATGGGGTTCACTTTTGTATTGCGTGCTGCTAAACCTCCCTCTTCAAAGGCAACTCGACTGGCGGTTGTTTCGGGATGGGCTGGTGGGGATACGCGAAGCGTGAAGAATATAACACCGCATGGTCCAATATGACCTCCACTATGGCACAGTGTAGCCCGGGTTAGAGCAGTACGACGTCCAAAAATCTTGGAACATCCCAAACTGCCTTCGAACAAAATCAACCCGCACTCTAGGGGTAGATGGGCTAGCGCGTTTCCTCTTACAATGTCCCTCTCCCCCTTGTCAGAATGCTGGGTGGGAACGTCAAAGATACGAACAAACGTCGCATAGCAGACCAACACATACACATGTTATTGATTCATTGCGATGGTCTGCTGTGGTGGTCTGTCGAGTTGGTTTTCCGCCTTCAACCCACGATGAAACTCGTGGGCCATCGAGGGCTCTTGGGGTTCTCTTTAACTTGTTCGGGCCCTCGTGGGAGCCCTTTGAAAGCTTGCCGGGAGCATTTCGGGGGCCTCTTGGGGCCTTCTTGGGCCTCTTGGACTGCCCTCTTGGAGCTGTCTTGGGTGGTATGGTAGCCTCTTCGGGCGTTATTGAAGACCTATGGGCGCCTCACGGGGGTCTCTCGGGAGGCTCCTTGGAACGCTTTCAGGGTTCTCTGGGGAAAATCTGTTGGGCCTCTCCTGAGCCGCTTTGGAGCCCACCTGGAGCGATTTCTCTGGGCGTTCTTGAAGACCTATGGGCGCCTCACGGGGGCTTCCAAGGGGCTCCTTGGAACGCTTTCAGGGTTCTCAGGGGTGCATATGTTAGGTTTCTTCTGAGCCGCTTTGGAGCCCACCCGGAGCGATTCCAAGAGGACGTTGGCTCGGAGCCTTCCCCGAAGCCCATCTGGAGACGTCCGCCGCCCAGAGAGCCGGAGTGAGAACGACCCAGCTCGAGCCGCAGGCTCCCTGCTATACAACGCGGATGGATGGGGCGCATTCGTTTCCAGCGAACCGGGGGGATGGAGGAGGGGCGGGGGGAGACGAGAGGGAGGGGAGGGAGTGGGGAATGGTTGGAGACGATACCGAGGGAGGAATGATATGAATGAAGAGGATTGCGGACGAACGTGCCGACCTGGGAAGAAGTGGAGCAGGATGAACTAGTGGTAAGTGAAACTCAGTGGGTAGGAGTGCCAGGGATGTGGAGTACAGTGGAATGGATTGGAAAAGTGCGAGGAGGAGAGGGAATGGGGAGGAGTGCGGAGAGGTGGGGGGGGGGAGCGCGGAGGAATGCGGGGGAGTGGGGCGGAGCGGATATGAGCGGAATGGACGGGGAGGACTGGGAAGGAGAGGGAAGAGTGCGAGGAAGTGAGGGGTAGTCGAACATGTCTTGGTTCGTGTTCAAACGGCGCCGTCTGCGGCGCGGGGGCGTTGCTATCTGAGCGCGTTTGCTAAATATTTACCCAATGATGTTTTTGCTTTCCCCCGCGGGACACCTGCGACCACATGCGCAGCTCGCGTCTGGAAAATGGGCGCCGGCGCGGCGCGAAACGACCGGGGGCTCCAGGAAACCGAAGAACGTCGTCTTCGACAGAGCGG